AAAGAGTGTGTAAGCAAGAAAGGAAAAAGACCACAGGTGCCTGCTCCAAATTCCTTGCAGATGCTGGGAAAAAGAATGAGAATTTACCGGCACCAGGCTGGAGAAAATTTGGCAAGGGCAGGCTCCATATGGGAATTTCCCTATTCAAGGTAATAAATTTTCTCTGACTCAAAGCATTGGAAGACAGATGAGAAACTTTTACTGCTTTGTAAATGATGAAAAACACACAGGACCAAAGTGAACACTCTACCTAGTAAAGCAACAGAAATAAAAGATACTTAATAATTCTGATAGGCATCCTCAACAACGTGCAGGAAATACTTAAGAGATGTTAATACAAAAATAGGTTACTTGCTCTCACAGAGGGGATCTTCCCAGTCCCTCAATTTCCACTAGCAGGTACAGGAGGGGTGGGGGTGGTACCATTAATCAATCAGTTCTACTAACTTATTCACAATACAACAATCAAAATTAATGATTGAAGGGAGCTGGAAAGGACAGGTGTGTGCTTGAGTCAACTTGTAAAGACTTAAAGAAAGCCAATTAAAATGGCAGTGAAATGAGAACAGCAGCTATCTTAATTACAAACCTAACATGAGAGTAAAGCTGCAGTGAAGTTTCTCTCTCCCTCCACTACACATTGCCTTTAGCCAAAGACAAATTGCCAGCATTGTGGTAATCTACTGAGTTAAAGTCATTACCCTGACAGTGCCAGGAAGTCTAATTTCCTGGAGCAGTAACACAAAGATTTATAAGTGAATTTAAACACTCACCTTCTGGAACAGAAAAATTTATCATCAGCATCAGGCTACAAGGAAAGTGACTGAGGTTTTCAGATAACGAAGGAAGAAGAAATTCACCTCCTGACAAGTCCACCCAAAATCTTGTTCCCTACCTCCATAGGCTGCTGCTCTGCGAAAGTGAATGCACAAAACTGAGCTTCCAAATAAATTCAGCTGTTCTCTGAGGTTCCTGCCACAACAAAACAGACTTGTTTAACTGCATACAGCTTTAGCACTAGTTCAGTATTTCTGCTCAACTCCCTCCTAAGCTTATGGCTCCATTAAAATGGAAGTAAGCTTAAATAAACAAAACAGGGAAGATGTTACTGACAGCTTTAATAGCTGACGTAAAGGAGTGAACGCGTTAGCTCACCCACCAGGCTGAAATGTACCTGCACATGTCTCCTTAGGGCTGAAAACTCCCTGATGAGATAAACTGAAACCACAGCTGAACTTCACCCAAAGCACCTTAGAGCTTCTACATTTATGCCATTGGATACATGTGCACATAAATAAGAAGCCAGGAGATTTGGTTAGACCAAATTGCACAGAGGTCTGGATTTAATTAGAAATAACGTGCTGATTCCATATACAAAGCAGGTTTGTTCTTCTGGACTTCCTCCTCCCATGTTCCAGCACCGATGAACAGAGGCAGACAATCCAACACCTCCACATCAGGAGGATTAAACGTTACAAACAGGAACACCTTCAGAGGGCTGACACACATCGAGGCTGATCCTTTTCAGAAAGCCTTATCGCACAGTCTGCCACCTGAGACACAGCTTTCCGCCGTGCAGATAGGATTCATCCTGATCTTCCCACAGTGCCTGAACCTCCTGTCACTATTCCTGCTCAGAAATAAGGACTCTGCACAGGCAGCAGGGGAACTGTACTATGCTACGTATGTGACGTGCAGGCAGGAGCAATCAGCGTTCGCACTGTGGCGGTGCAGAACAGAGCAGACGGCAACACCGCTATCGGTGACCTACTTTATACTGGGGAAGGGATTTCAGCGCCTTTCCCCCTCGAAGCAGGAATTTTTGAAAGTACTAAATTTAGCAAGGTCCTGAGGACAGCATTCATAATTTGTCAGCGCTGTCCCCTTCTCATCTGGCTCTACTCAAGGTGTTATCACTACCCAAAAACCGCATCCTCTCTCTCCAACTGTCAGGAAAAACCGTTCTCCTTTCCACACAGAGCTTCTCTTCCACAATGTTTCCTCGTGAGGACAGCAGTACTCTGGACACTGCCAGAGCACATACATTTATTTTTAAATATCAGATGAGACAGCTTCTGAAAGCACTGCAAGTCCTCCCGCCTGACATTATCCAGTTAACCACAGATAACAACCCAAAACTGGAAGCTTTCCCCTGCCAGAATGCCTAGCACATAAAATTATTAAAGGCTTAGAAGTGGTTTCAAGGCTGCTCAAATGCTGTGCTGCAGCAAAATCTGATTTCCATTAAAAAAACCAAGAGCAATCAGAAGAAAAGAGACTCTAGTTCAACATTTTGGAAAAAAGAATTGCCTTCATTCATTCATTCCTCTCCACAGCAAACAGATTCCAGGAAAAACAAAAAACCACTAGCACTTAAACTAGGTAGTAACTCAGGAGACCCTATGGACTGTTGAGGATGTGAACACGTTCCCAAGCTGTCCTGAACAAAGCTTGAGAAAACCTCTGTCTCCCCCACCATCACTAAACCACATGCACCCCCCAGCTAGAAACCAGGCAAGTTTCTGGGTTTATGACCTTCAGCTGTGGGATAGGCAGGGATTCCTGCAATTAAAGTCATCAGGAGACCAAACGAAGTTTCCAGAAGGACAGAAAGTAGGTCTCAACTAGTTCACTGCTACTGGTTTGGGATTGTTCAAGCAATTCTAAGCACACTATCAGTTAAGCACAGTGATCATACCTAAGAACATTTCATAGGGAAATTATGATGTCAAGTTCCCGAAACATCAGCTTCTGACCCACCACCTGAGCGCCGTGGACTCTGACTACAGGATGACAGGCAACTTCCCAACACTGCACCTCAACGTTTGTTAGCAACCAGTGCTCCTTTGCTGCCTTGCACGAACAAATCTTATTACTGCAGTTTCATTTGCCCACAAAGATTCCAGCTGAAAACTCACTTTAATATGGCTTTAATAATACATGAAAGAGATTAATCTATAATTGTTGATTTTTGAAATCGCACTTCATTGTGTCACTCAAACGGAGTGCTTTCGATCATTAAAACTTGCATGATTTTTCAATCTTAGTAGCAAGGTTCTGCTTCAGCTGAGAGCTGATCTCATCAGAGCCAATTACACTCTATGGCAAAGATCTGACCGGAGCCTTAAAGCGTTTTAAAAAGGCAATTTTATTTGTCTTATCTTACCGAACAGTTCAAAGCCCTAACAATCTTGTTAGAGCCTTTAATAGCCAGGGACTCTCATGTAAACTGGATACTTAACAGGAAACCACTAGTAAAAACTGAACAAAAATACATCTGAATTTATTTTTTACTCTGGCACACAAATAAACAGTTTCTCAGGCCTTTTTCTGTGTCAAAGACTTATTCCGAAAAGCTGTGGGATTAATCTCCTGACCTAATCTAGCATGAGAGATGTCGTCAGATGTGGTGGGTTGGCCCTGGCTGGAGGCCAGATGCCCACCAAGCTGCTCCTTCACTCCCCTCCTCAGCAGGACAGGGGTGGAGAAAATAAGATGAAAAAAAAAACGCTTGTGGGTCAAGACAAAGGCAGTCTAACAAAGCGAAAGCAGAGGCTGCACACAGAATCAAAGGAAAACAAGGGTTATTCTCCACTTTCTATCAGCAGGTGACGTCCAGCCACTGCCCGGGAAGCAGGGCTTCAGCATGTGTAACAGTTACTCCGGAAGTTAAAGGTCACCATCATGAATGAAGGCCCCATCCTCCCCCTCGGCCTCAGCGGTTACTACTGAGCACGTCATACGGTACGGGACATCCCTCTGGGGGGGGCTGCGCCAGAGCAGAAGACCACGGGAAGGACTCGTGTTGGAGAAGTTGGTGGAGGAGTGTCTCCCGTAGGAGAGACCCCACAGAGTGAGGAGTCTTCCCGTCACTGCGGAGGAAGGAGCAGCAGAAACAATGTGTGGTGAACTGACCATGACCCCCATTCCCTGTCCCCCTGTGCTGCTCGGAAGGAGGAGGTAGAGAAAACTGTGAGTGAAGTTGAGCCTGAGAAGAGGGAGGGGTGGGGGAAGGCATTTTAAGATTTAGTGTTTATTTTTCATTATCCTGTTATGCTGGGTTTAGTCAGGAAATGCTGTATTTTACATTCCTTCCTTTCCTGCATACTTAAGAAGTCTCCTTCCCTACGCTGTAACCAACGCCCCTCCCTGAACTGACGGCCTTCCGGAGGGTTGCTCAGGAGAGGCTTCCTGCAGCTCTCTGAACGGGACAGCACTGCACCTTCCAAGAGCTGTGTTAGTGTTTTATGCAATAATGCACCAAATGAAAATTAGCGTTTAGAGATTAGCCTAGAAACTGTACCCATTTGTTGGGGTGTCTGTAAATAGATCAGCTCCATCTATATATTAGGATTAGTTTGCATATTGTCAATCGGAGCCTCACTGCCTCCAATTTTAGTGGGAGTGCGGCACTTGACATGTGTAATTACGATACCAGTACTGACAATCACCACACCTCTGAGGATGTTAGATATGGCCTCTGCTGCTGCCCTCGGTTTACAGTAAGGAAATCGAAGCACAAATTAGGTGATTCCATCAAGGTCACTCAAGTAGCATAATTCAGGTATCTTAGGTCCAAGATCTCTCCACTGAGTCACACTGTCTCTTTGTATTCTCTGAAACTGTACAAGTGATGCAGGGAGAGTGAGATTCTCCTTCTGAGGTATACTCACGTAGATGCGGGTATTCAGACCACTAAGGTGAGGGTGCTACAGGAGATCTTCCTCTGCAAGGCTAGGTTGACAGGGTGGCCCCTTAGACGTTGCCATGACAATGGCTGAATCTTTGCAATGACATTGCACACACTTCAAATGAAAACCTATGCAAGTCTCAAAACACCATTCATTGCTGTGAGAAGCCTGACAAGATCCCAAATAATCTCCTAATCTCCAGTTAAAAGTAGCCCCATGCATGCAGGAAGGGAATGCAGATTGATTGTGAAATATTTCACCTCTGCCAGAACTGAAATACAAAAGTGCAGTGCAGAGTCTTCCTGTGAAACCTCCTGATTTTGGAAAACTACAAGTACTACTCAGTACAGGCAGGGAAGAATAGCATATTCAGGAGAAGACTGAAAAGTAAAGTAAATCAGAAAAGACAAAAATCCAAAACTCTTCCCCTGCCCTCACTCTCCAGTTTGTTGGAACACTGAAGAACTACAGAGACACCGCAGAAGGGAAAAGATCAGTGGTAAGCAGACCCGCCTAACGCACTTCCTAACTCCTTACCTTCATGTCTAGTGCAGGCAATTTGCAAATGAAGTTGTAAAGGAAAACAGCACACACTCACCCCCTCTATGGAGTTACCATCACCTCACACCAGATCAGATGGGCTTCTACAAGATTTCACCCATCTAGCAGCTTTATATAAAGCTGGTTGTTTCCAGCGTTGAATACTAGATAACGACAAGCACTGGCACATCTATTATTTCAATTAACTCAACACAAAAGAAAGATCAGCACGATATGCTCATGTCTCAAGTTCCTTTAAGAGCCTCCAGCTCCCAAGCTACTTGTTATTTCCAAAAGCACAAACATTAGCGTTACCTTTTGCTGCTTCAGACCGCTTTGGCAAATCAAGTGTATCAAAATTCCTGTCCAAATCTCCGTTCTTCTTTCCTGTGCAAAAAAAATAAGACAACAGATGGAAAAGACTGTCAGCATTCTGACAGGTAAGTTACTGTCAGGTGCATCTACAAGATGAGAGAAGATACAGGCTCAGAATGTAAATCACAGACTAGTGCCCATACTCGTACATCTGCTCGCAATCCAGCTGCATAGCTGTGCTTTTAGCCTGAGCAACTTAGGGACAAAAAACCGCGCTACTTTCAGGCTGATCCGCAAACATGCTTAGCACAAGCATTTCAGTGGGTCTTAAGAGTGCTTAAAATCTTGGAAAATTGTGCCATTTCCCTTCTTGGCAAAGCTACGCCACTCCCTCAGAAGCCCAGTATTCCCTTGCTACTTGCACAGAGGAATTTTGATCTGAAGCTTAGTTGAAGCAGAAACCGAGCCGCAGAGCAATACACGACAGCCTTGCTTTGCAGCCTCTCTTCTCACCGCGGCTGTCAGGCAGGAAGGCCTCGATTTAAAATACCGTACAGACAGCAGCCAACAACTTAACCTTCAATTGCCCTTCAATCAATAAAGTGCCATTTTGAGTATTTATTAGGAACTAATGGAAACAATTCTGTATTTCTGCCAAGACACAGCTTCAAACCATTACATCAGCTTTAATTTATACAATCCTTCACAGAAAGCAGATCAAAACCTGGAGTTTAGTTTCAGTTAGGTTGGGAATTCAAGGTTAATTTTTCATCCCCTCCTCTGCCCCTGAGGAGACTCAGTGCCTTGGGTGAGGCTGTATGGATGCTGTGGGATAAGCAGGCATCTTGCCATCCGAGAAGTACTGACAGCAGCAAGAGAGACTGAAGTGCAGGAATCTGCACGGCTTCTGAGAACAGCAGTGCACAAAGGCGTTCTCAGATTATTGAGGGGAGAAATCAAGTTATTTAGTTCCTCTCCCTCCAGAGCAGGGGAGGCAGGTGCGATGGGATGAATTCAGAACACCGCAATTTAAGCTGCCAGAGGTGGCGTCTGGACCAGGGACTCGGCCAGGCTGCTGACAGAGGTTTAGAGGGAGGGCTGAAAGCTCCAGCAGACAGGATGCTTAAAAGCAAACAGGAAAATGGTCCTTGAAAATGTAACGGGAAATTAGCCTGACTCCTGGCTAAGAACAGGTCACAAAATGGGAAAGGCCAACTCCTGACCTGTTACAGCAGGGGGCTGGTACAGCTTCTGCACAGTGAATTCAATGGGCCACTCTACCTTTATCTGAGACAAAAGGATAAACATAGGCAGTACTATGTAGAGAAGAAATAGAGCTTTTACATACCAATATGAATATTTAAAACAGCACTGAGAGAAAAAAAATCCACAACCTCAAGATAGTATTCCATCCCCTCCCTTTCTCTGGGAATAGTACAGACTTTTGTTATGAAATGCCAGCACAGAATGCCAGCCAACTTGAACTACTGTGCAAAACAAATTCCCTTCGTCTGAAGTAATTTGCTTAATTACATAGAGTATGAAAAAGTCCATCCAAGCTGCCAAAATATCATGCAGCCAGGTACTGTGCCACTCCTTTGAAAGGTATCTTTTCTAAAGGATGGGACAGGAATTAGCTGCACTTCGGAGCTCTCCATCGAGTTTTCGCTCCATGAAAGTGCCAGAAACTTGTTGCTTGGGGAACCAAATACCAGAAAGAAAAAAATGCTGTGCATCATCAAAAGACACGGTATTTCATAATGGCAGCTGAACCTAGTTACTGGCTGCAAACCCTTGCTGACCCTTACAGCACTGACAGGAAAAAGCAGGGCAAAGGGAGGGAAAAAAGCATTGAAGGAAGGAAGTCAGTGTTTAGGAAAGATTAGAGACTTAAGACAGTCCAATAAATGTGACTCCATCTTATCTACAAGTAGGACAAGCTGTTTTTTCACATGACCTCAAATTTCACGTCTCTGGCATTAGCTAATTTAAACTTCAGAACATTTACTCCAAGAGTCAGCCCTTATTCAACACAGCGACTCCTTTCAGAGGTTCTCCCTATAATTTAAAGGTTGGGGTTTGGTACTTCTGTTAGCCCTGCAGAGCTGAGATGGCACAGCATGAGTTCCCTGCTTCCTAGCGCACTGTTCAGCAAGCTGTATGCATTTGTGCACGACCCTTTAAGGAAAGGATTATCCAGGAGGGCAGTGTTGGCTGCGACATCTTTGGATCCAGCAGTGCAGAAGCAGCTGCCTAGTGACCAAACCATCTTTCATTAAGACAGCACACCCCCTTGCGCTCTCTGAGCTTCAGTTGCCAGCTCTCCATTTCTAGGCCAGATTGCAAATATTGGCCATCTTCTATGAGGCCTTTGCTAGTTCGTCTCTCAGCCCTCTGAGAAACTAACCCACCTTGCAGGCAAACCCACGTCTGCTCAAGCCAGATGCTGCCAGCTGTTTACGAATGGAAGCAATTCAGAACACAGAGCTCTGACCAGGGGGATTTCGACTCTACAAATTACTTGCTTAATCAAATTGAGTAAGGGCCAGGTTCAGAAGTACCCACAGCACCAGTATTTTCCAGGGCTTTCCTGTAGAGAGAAGGTGACCAAGCTGTAAGGAGACTCCAAAAGAAATCCATCTAGAAGGCAAAGGTTTCAGCCTGCAGCTCAGCTGGCTTTTTTCCCATTCGATTTTCACAGGACCCAAACATAGTGGTTTGGAGTATCTAAAGAGGTGACCCAATTTAGCAGGTTGAAGAGCCTACCAAGTACAGATCTCTCAGCCATCCCCTGGCCTCTCTGGTATCATGAGAAAACCAGCTTCACTGCCAGCTTCTGCAGCTCTGAACACCCCCTCTGTCACTCAAGCCTGTCAGCGATGCTAGGGCTCAGGGATGCCGAAATGACCACACCAGCAGCAGCAAAGATGTTTAAGACCCTGTTTTTGTACATCTCAATTTCTGCCTTCCTATGCATCTCCCCTGTCCCCCAAGTTTTCCAGCCGGAGGTATGCCAGAGAAAAGGTGATGCTGTTGGACCACCGTCATGGCTCCAAACTCTGCCAGAGACAGAGAGCTTTGAACATGCCTGCTGACAGGTCTGGTTTATGAGACCTGGCTGTAGGAATTGGCACAGCACTCTGGTTTGGGAAAACTGCCTGACATGAGACTCACTTGTGCAAGATGCAATTTACAGTCTCCGAAATAGTGGGATTAAAATTCTTTTCCTCTCCCCCCACCCCTCTACTTTTCATTATGTAAGAAACAAACCCGAAACATGACCTTTGGCATTTTCAACCTGTCAGAAACTCAGTATGGAGTCTGAAGTGTGACCCAGTGTTATTAACCACTAATGTTGTTGTGGATCTTCCTCAAATGTCCTTTTGCTTTACCAGATAATCCAAACCGCTATTCAGCTAGACCATTTTTCCTGAAGGATTTAATCCCAAACACTTCTTTTCTGGTTAAAAAAGGGTTTGAGGGGAAAAGGACTCTTCATAACAACCCCCTCTCACCGCCCAGTCAATACTGTGCTTGTCAGTACACCCACTGAACCAGACTGCAGTGGGGCGACGGAAAGCAAGGGCTTCCTGTCTGGCCAACATGTCCATTCTCCACAGGCTCACCAGTCAGTGAGATCAGTGTCTTGCAGAACACCCCTGAGCACCATTTGTTGGGTGGAGTAATCAGATCCACCGCACCATTTCCCGTTTGGCTCACTGATCTGAAGCAAGTGTCACAAACTGAACGCAACCCTGCCTTTAGCCCCGAATCAGCCTCAGTGACACAATGGAAGTCTCCATGGCACTCACAACCTCACAACTTCCCAGCCGAGAACCAAGGGAGGCAAACTTTAGCCTCAGCCTTGTGTATTCCAATTACAATTTTACTTACTATGCTAGGATGAGAAACTAAAGGGCAAAGCCCCAGGGCATTTGCTGGGTGTAGCTTCATCTAGCCAGTCTGAGTGCCAGTAATAAAGATGCAGCAGCCCAGGCAGGTGTGCCCAAGCAAACAAAATACCAAGGATCTCTGACAACACACATCCGAGCTACTGAGTGTACATGGCTGCTGTTACCCAGACAGGCTAGCAAAGCTGTGCTACGGTGTGACAGGGCTGGTGAGGCAACTGGCACCCACACTGCGCTGCTCCCTCTCTCATGGGGCTCATATCAGACCACATCATATCATCTCTCTCATATCAGACCAGTTGCAAATCAACTCCCCTACTGCACTTCCACCAGGAATGAACAAAACCTCGTTTTCCCTGTTCTCAGTGTGGGAGGACCAAACTGCAAATACTCAGTTCGAGGATTCCCATGCCTACTGAAATGCAGAGGAGGATGGACTGGGGGAGCAGGGAAGGTGAATGAACAAGACCTTGCCCTCAGCTCTTAGCCTTGCATGGAAAAGCTGAACAAAGCATATTATGGTGATGATGAAAAGGAAGTATTGTGAAGACTCACCTTGATTGAACCACTCCTCTAATTACCAGAAAAGCAGCAAAAGAAAAACAAAAATTTACAGGAAGGAAGCAAATACAAAGGAACAGTCAGAAAGAGGCAGAATTTAACAAAATAGGTTCAAAACCTGAGTATTACAAGAATACTACAGAACTGTCATTAATTAAAAAAACCAAACCAAGATATTCTACTTTCTCCCTTTTATTTCCTGCTGAAAGTCCCCAATCTTCCTCTGAACAGCTTTTTTTTTGTTCCTCTTTTCCTCAAATGAAAAAGTGCTCACAGAACTGAGGGGACAGAAGGATGACTAGCTCTTTGCAGGGATGTTTGAAATGCTATGAACAATGATCATGAAGTAAAATAAAATAAACATGGAAGCACTGCAAGATTAAGTGAACCAGAGGGGGAGAGAATTGATCTATTTTAAAGCCCTAGAAAAAGAAAATTAAGGCAGTTTCAGATCAGGTAGTCACAAAAGTTCAGCAGAAAAGGAAGCTTCTCTTTATGATTTTTAAAGCACATTTATTAATGGATTATAAATTTTATTTTTTAAACACAACAGTTGCCTGTTCCCCCTCTATTCTTCTGATCTACATACTCCCAGCTGTGAGCTCAGCATTATTCCTTCTACAGAGAATAGCACACTTGAAAAAAAGCACTGCAAAAAGGGGGGAAAAAT